TCATAAAAAATTAACTGCTGCTTTCGTGGATATTGCAACACACGGAATAGATGTAAGGACACAGCTATAAGAGCCACCGCACACCACAGACTTTATCGGCCGCCTATTTAAATGATAGGGCTCGCTTGAAATATGTACATGAAGATGTATGGAGGTGCGCACATTACACCAGCTTAATCGCTCTGACCAATAAGTTGTGGTGCAATGGAAAGACTAGCGAGCACATCTAAATTGGCGGCCGATAAAGTCCGTGGTGTGCGATGGATCTAATCCATTATAAACAAGAAATATTGCTGTTATATTTTCATTTTTTATGATTTTTATTCATGTGATTAGCAGTGGCAAAAATGTATGTACAAAATACGTATATTTATATTAAAAATTAAGTGATCAGTTATGAAACATATAAATCTTTACATGTTCTGTTACAAAATATCTAAAATACCAAGCGATAATCCCCAAGTTCTATATCGTAGCAGTGGCCACATTGCGTGTTTGTCACAGACACGGTTTATGTAAAAAATTTTGAAGGGAAACTACCTTCTAGAAATTATTGTATCATGGATATTACTTATATTATTATATTTACTTTATATAATCTAACCGACGTGGTGCCATCCATCTTTGATTGTGTTTCCTGTATTCTTGGCATTGCGTCGATATCCTATTACTTAAGCTGATTTTCCTGTAAATAAAGACATCTTATAAATAACACTTATCTAATTTAGGGCCGTTTGCACCATGTCTAGTTAACGCTAACTGGAGGTACATCCTTCAGTTAAGCACGTTAACTGCTTTATCGATCACATGTTATATGATGGGTGTCGATAACGTCGATAAAGATGTTTAACTGGGAGTTAGAATTAACTAGACATGGTGCAAACGGCCCTTAAAGGCTTAAAAAGTAATAGTTAATTGGCATAAAATAAACATTACATATTTTGTTTAATATACCAAATCTCATTTTATTTATTTAAAGCTATACATGTATATAGATTTTATCAGTAATTAAAAAACGGATTTTGTTTTTATAACTACAGTAAAACCCTCTTAAGGGCCGGTTACTCAATGTCTGGTTAACACTAACTACAAGTAAAACATCGTTATCGACGTCTTCGGCTCCATACATATAACATTGTGTCGGTAACGTCGATAACGATGTTTTACTTGTAGTTAGTGTTAACCAGACATTGAGTAACCGGCCCTAAGTCATCTTCTTCTTCTTTATTGGCGCTGTAACCGCCTAAGCGATTTTGGCCGAGCCCAAAACAGCACGCCAGTCATTTCTCTTCTGTGCTAACTGACGCCAATTGGAAATGCCAAGTGAAGCCAAGTCCTTCTCCACCTGGTCTTTCCAACGCAGAGGAGGCCTTCATCTTCCTCTGTTACCAGCATCGCGGCCCGCGTTGAATATTTTCAGAGCAGGAGCGTTTCTGTCCATTCGAACGACATGGCCAAGCCAGCGGAGCCGCTGAATTTTAATTCGCTGCACTATGTCTATATCGTTGTAAAGCTCATACAGCTCATCGTTAAATCGTCTGCGATATTCGCCATCACCAACGCGTAAAGGTCCGTAAATCTTTCGCAGAATCTTTCTGTCGAAAACTCCAAGAGCCGCCTCATCAGATGCTTTCATTGTCCATGCCTCCGCGCAATACACCAGCACAGGCATGATGAGTGACTTATAAAGTGTGATCTTTGTACGACGAGAGAGGACTTTACTTCTCAATTGCCTACTCAGTCCAAAGTAGCACTTGTTGGCAAGAGTGGTTCTCCGTTGGATTTCAAGCCTGACATTATTATTGGTATTAATGCTGGTTCCCAAATAAACGAAGTCGTCTACTTTTTCAAACTTGTAACTGTCAACAGTGACGTGGGTGCCAAGACGCGTATGCTCTGACTGTTTGTCTGATGGCAGGAGATACTTCGTTTTGCCCTCGTTCACCACCAGACCCATTCGCTTTGCTTCTCTGTCCAATCCCGAGAAGACAGAACAGTACAGTTGTTTTTACCGATAATATCGATGCCGGCGGCATACGCCAGCAATTGTACGCTCTTGTAAAGTATTGTGCCTGAGCGGTTCAGTTCTGCGGCTCTTATTATCTTCTCCAACATCAGATTAAAGAAATCACACGAAAGGGAGTCCCCCTGTCTGAAACCTCGTTTGGTATCAAACGGCTCGGGAAGGTCCTTCCCTATTCTGACGGAGCTGGTGGTATTGCTCAACGTAATTTTACACAGCCGTATTAGTTTCGCGGGGATACCAAATTCAGACATCGCGGCATAAAGGCAACTTCTCTTTGTGCTGTCGAAAGCGGCTTTGAAATCGATAAATAGATGGTGCGTGTCGAACCTATTCTCGCGGGTCTTTTCCAATATTTGGCGTATTGTGAATACCTGATCTATGGTGGATTTTCTAGGCCTAAAGCCACACTGATAAGGTCCAATCAGCTCGTTGACGGTGGGCTTCAGTCTTTCGCACAATACACTCGATAAGACCTTATAACCTATGCTTAGAAGGCTGATTCCGCGGTAGTTGGCGCGTATGGCGGGGTGGCCTTTCTTGTGGATTGGGCAGAGCACACTTAAATTCCAGTCGCCGGGCATGCGTTCATCAGACCATATTCTGCATACGAGCTGATGCATGCTCATCAGCTCCTCGCCGCCGTACTTGAATAGCTCGGCTGGCAGGCCGTCAGCTCCAGCAGCTTTGTTGTTTTTCAGCCGCGTAATCGCTATTCGTACCTCGTCATAGTCAGGCGGTGGGACAGTTACTCCATCATCATCGACTGGGGACTCGGGTTCGACTTCTTCACTACTTTCAGCGCTGCTGCCATTCAGTAGGTTGTAAAAGTATTCTGGACATCGGTCACTAGGTCGCCATTGTTGCTCTTACAGGAGTTCGCCCCGGTCTTGAAACCTTCCGTAAGTCGCCTAACCCTCTGGTAGAATTTTCAGGCGTTCTTCCTGTCGGTTTGCCTTGAGGCAAATACATCTCGCTTCCTTCTTCAGTTCCCTATAACGGTCCCACATGGCTCGCGTTGCGCCCGATCGCAGCGTGGCCCTGTAGGCGGCATCTTTTTTCTCTGCGGCTTCTTGACATTCCTCATCGTACCAGTTGTTCTTTCGGGCTCGCTGAAATGCAACTACTTCTTCGGCGGCGGTACTTAATGATCGGGAAATGTGGTTCCACTGCTCGCGTATGTCGGATTGTTGAAGAGTGCTCTCAGAGAGCAGGTGTGTGAGTCGAGTGGCGAATAAATTGGCCGTCTGTTGTGATTGCAGCTTTTCGACGTTAAGCTTTCCTTGCATTGTTGGGCGCACATTTTTTGCTGCACAGAGGCGGGCACGTATCTTGGCTACAACAAGATAGTGGTCCGAGTCGATGTTTGGCCCTCGGAGTGTACGTACGTCCAAAACGCTTGAAGCATGCCTTCCGTCTATCACAACATGATCGATTTGGTTTCTCGTTTTTCGATCTGGAGACAGCCATGTAGCTTGGTGGATGTTCTTATGCTGGAACCTAGTACTACATATTACCATATTTCGGGCCCCGGCTAAGTCGATCAGCCTCAGTCCGTTATCGGACGTTTCGTCGTGGAGGCTGAATTTTCCGACAGTGGCGCCAAAGATCCCTTCCTTGCCCACCTTGGCATTAAAATCGCCAAGCACGATTTTGACATCGTGTCGGGGGCAGCGCTCATATGTACGTTCCAAGCGCTCATAGAAGAGATCCTTGGACGCCTCATCCTTCTCTTCCGTCGGGGCATGGGCGCAGATGAGCGAGATGTTGAAGAATCTAGCTTTGATGCAGATTGTTGCTAGACGTTCGTCCACCGGGGTGAACGCCAGTACTCGGCGACGGAGTCTCTCTCCTACCACGAATCCAACACCGAATTTCGGCTCCTTTACGTGGAAACTGTAGTAGACGTCGCAAGGCTTTACGCTTACTTTTCCTTGCCCCGTCCATCGCATTTCATGGACGGCGGTTATGTCAGCCTTTGTCTTCCCGAGGACATCAACCAGCCGAGCAGAGGCAACTTCCCCATTAAGGGTCCGGATATTCCAGGTGAATACCCTTAAATCATAGTCCTTTATACGTTTGCCGTGGTCGTCATCAGAAAATGGGGGTCTCATCCGAGGCTGTTTTTTATTTTTCATTGGGCGGGGTTTTAACGTGGCGGGACCCAAACCCAGCGAACGCGAAGTTTTACGCCTTCTCACTTCAGCTCGCTCCCAAGCGGGTGTTTGGTTGCTACCCAGAGGATACTCGATGCGGGTACTTAAGCGAACATAATTTGTGATGTAGTTACATCTTCTTGTTAACTTACATAAATAAGTCCTTGAATAAAACATGAACATTTAATGAAGTATACGTAATTTAAAACCAAGATCGTAGCATTATTTAAACAAGTAAACATATAAAGGAAAACTTAAAAAAAAAACAACAGATAAAGGAATGTTATGTCATTTTTCCAAGAATTAAATTAAAAAGTCATTGATTATACATATTATACATACATACAAACAGGGCATATCATTTTAGAACAAATTCAAACAGATATTGTTTGCCACTTATGTCTATTTTTTAATATTTAAAAGTTTTCAATAAAAAAAATTCATTCATTCAATTCATAGAAACTTAAAATATAAGCTTAAATATTTGCAGAACACTGAAAAAAAATCATCAAAATTTAAAACTGGTTTTTCAGAAGTGTTACCATTTTTTATGAGTATACAGTTTTATAGCCCATTAAATATTAGTGTAATAATGCGCAAGTTTCAAGTGACTAAAAATTACCGTTGATTTTTTATAATTTTTTTGCCGAAGGTGTGTAGCGCTGCCATATTGATATGAAATATTAATTTATCTGTCGTTAGTATGTTAATCTAGTGGCCCAAGCATTCGCTGCCAAGCGTTCATTGTGGCAAGCATACTTTATACGTGCGTTCTGTCAAACCAACGCCAACGCCAAAGCCAACGCGAAAGTTCTATGTGGACCGGCCTTAAGATATAAATATTTACATCTAATTAAGTTTGTGCTTTTTTTTTGCTTAAACCTATTGTGACTAAGTGCTACATAACGCCTAATTTCATTAACGGTCTGCTCCTTCGTTTTCTCCCCAAAGACATCTAGAAAAATTTATATAAATGTATTAATTTTTAGAAAACTGAATTTTAATAAAAATTTTTAGTGAAATTAAATAATACTGACCGAAAACCAAGTCCAGAGCCTTAAGCTTTAGAAGCGATTTTTTTTTCTTTACGTCCCTCCAAATTGTAGCCGGCCACCAAGTTATCGTGCAGCAGCGAACGCAGAACTCCGTCTACACTGCCTTTTACACCTTTTGACTTAACTAACAGCCGCATCTGAAAGATAAACGTGAATGTTAAATGTTTAGATAAATAATTAAAGTAATCGAAATCAATGCGCATATATTAAAAAACAACAAAATTATTACAAATGCATCACTACTGGCCTTTGTACAGAGTTTCGTCTTTACGGCTAGCAATGTCTCCTCTGATGACATGGGAAGCATGGAGGCAAGCTCTAGGTATTCCTCGTCCTCTATGTCACCTGTGATGCGGCTAACCGATAGCTGAGTTCGCGCCGCGATGACTTTGTATTCACGTAATATTTTGCTTTGCGCTTGAACCTCAGCTTTCTCAGGCATCTGGAAAACAAACAAAAAATATCGTGAAATATTAATGTTGAAAATAGAAACATTTACATTTTCTTTAAGCGCCTTTTCAATGGCAGTTAGACGGTTGTCCACACCACCCAAAAGTGAAAACATGCCCTTTTGGGCCTCTTGAATTCCGTCCAGACGTTTGATAAGCTCTGCGTGGCTGCTCGATAGGACCTCAGCTGTTGGGGCCACTTCGGGAGTCGTGTTGGTAGCAGTTCTACGGACTTGAGAGGCGCGAATAAAACTGAAGCGGCGCTTCTGAATTCGTTGTTCTGTAACTAATTATATAGTAGCAGAAACAGTAATAAACTTTATAAATTGTATCACCTTTGCAGACGGAGGACCCTTGGGAGCATTCCGACCAGTGTACGAAAATAAACTATATTGTACGTTACTATTTCGTTTCGTTTATTACTTCAACAGTTCGGTACAATACGAAACAAAACGGCTGAGTTCACTTTGGCGATAGTACACTACAGTAGTTTAGTAGTTACAGACGAAACAACAAACGAAATGAATCGTGCAGGGAAAATATATTTATGTATGTACATATATGCAATAACCAATGTTTTTTAATTGAATTGGATATGAAAATTTACAGAAAAAATTATTTTTTCACGTAATTGAAATGTTTGCATACATATAAAACGTATCCTATGGTACAATTGTCACAAACGAAAAGCAAACGTTTCTCGTTGGGGAAAGTGACAGTGAATCTTACAATTTGTTTCTGACTATTTACAAAACTGTACAAAACCACAAATGATATGATGATCGATGAGCAAATGGGAATTGTTTTGTACAGTTTATTTTCGTACCCTGATTCCGACTCAATGACCTCTTCGAAAAGATCCTCGAAATTCATTCTAATAAAAATCTTTATACAAAACTTATTTCTTAATGGCATGCAAAAATATGTATACTTAGCATCTTATTATTTACAATACGATTTAAAGCGATTAATCGAATTTTAATAAAAATCATTAAAAAAGTGATGTAATAAGGGGACTAATAATAATTTATTATTTAATGGCATGCAAAAATACTTATACCTAATGTCCCGTTTACTTAATGCTTATTAAGAGAAAGGTAATTTAATTGCCTTCCTGTTCGTTATATTTCTTTTAAATAAATTAGCCTCTTTTCAAAAAATGTTACACTTTCGTGCGATGCCTTATGTACGTTTAACATACATGTACATAATTTTACGAAGTTGTTAGCCAAGGCTTTATTTTGAGAAATTATTTAAAAATTATTGATGTTAATGCGTATTAAGAGAAAGGTAATTTAAATGCCTTTATTGAATTATTGATGTTAATGCTTATTAAGAGAAAGGTAATTTAA